CTGATTAAAGTTATATAACAAATTTCTTATGCTGAATGGCAATCAAAACTTTAAACGCGTTTTTCTCGAAATCACTTTATTTGAACTGGCCGGACAAATAACTCGAAAAGTTTTTAACTAATCGACTTGAAATTTCGTGGAGAGGTGTAAAATAGTATAATGCAGTGAACATCGTACGGATTTTTTGATTAATTAACCACTTAACTTTTTATTAATAATTCAGTGCTGAATTTTCTGCCGTTTTTCGAAACTTTTTGTTCATATCTACACCAAATTAACAATTATTAATATTTTTTAATTTCCGTACGATGTTCCATAGATTTTGGTATATAATATGAGAAATTTTTGGATTTTTTGATTTAGGACCATGCGTTAATGAAAAAACAGTCCGGCCATGAAGCCCTTTCAAAAAATGGTGTTGTTGCTTGCCAGCACCTACAGCCGCCATTTTTAATCCAAATTGTTTCTAAAAATTTACAAACTATCTTCAAAACATATATAATAAGGCCTTTTTTATTCTGACCTTATAACTTGTACGATTATTACTTTAAAAATTCCCGAAAATCACCTTTTTTTCTGACTTCTAGAGTGGCGTTACCCCTTAAGGTCTCAAGGTTTCTAGATAGCCTTCTATATCCCTAGATTCCAATACTGCAAAATCTCTACTCTTTTGATTTCGACATTTCTAAATTTCTATATTACTAGATCGCATCAATACTGAAATTTTATACTGGTAATGATATCTATAGTTTTAATTCCATATACTACTAATCAACATTCGTAAATACCTATACTCCTAGATTCCAATGTTCCTAAATTCATATATCTCTATATTTCTATACACCTACATCTCCTTATCCCTAGATTTGTAAACTGCTATATTCTTGAGTCTCTAGATTATCGCTGTATCTCCATATTTTTATATCTCCAAATCCTTACATTTCTGTATTCCTATATCCTTATATTTGTATATATATTGTATATTTCTGCATTCCAGCATTTAAATATTCCTATATTTCTATATGTTAATATTCCTATATTCCTATATTAATATATACCTACATCTTTTATTACCTAATGCAAATGTCCCTAGAGTGCTGTATTCTGTAGTCATAATAATGTAAATTATTGCTTTTGTAACTACTAAATGCTCAAAGTCAAAATGCCTAATTAAAATGCTGTCATAACCCAATTTTTACAGCAATAATAAATAATATTACATTGTCCTAACGTAGTTACTTTATAAAGCTTAAAAGATCGTGTAAATACTATTTATCACGTGTTTTCAGTTCTTATATCATTGCGCATTTCAATACTAGAACAGCTAACGTCATCTTACGGGGAGTAGTAGAACTGATGAATCAAAAAATAGGTTTTAAAAAATTGAACATCTTTAATATCTCTATACTAAGAATAAAACATTTTATAGTTATAATGAAATCAGAACAATGTTGTTACAGTTTGTTTAAAGCGCTAATATACATAATTAATTTTAGATTCAAGTACTGGAGACATCTAGTGACTTCATGTTGGTACTAATAGAAATGAATTTTGTGTAATTATTTAATACATATTTCAATTTTAAAGTTAAAGTTTCTAAATTATTTGGGATCGATAACATGCTTGAAATAATTTGATGTAAATATATTAAATTTGATAAGAATAATAAAAGTTTTATCATTTTAAATTTTGATTATAGTTATATACTTAATCCAGAAGTACTAATGTTCCTAGTTTCAAATTTATTGAACCATTTCGAAACTAGTTATTTTATATTTCTCTCTAATTTTCATCTTTTATTTTTAAATGCATTTCAATATAATTACCTAAATGTCTTACATAATTAATGATGAACATAACGTATATATTTTAATAGATCTGAAAAATTAAGAGTTTTAAAGAAAGAAGCAAAATTTCATTTTGTTTGCAGTCAATAATTTATCAACAGATAGTTCAAGTAACTCAAGGTTCAAGGAAAGAAAATTTGTTAAATTATTGACTGCACCATCTGTTCTGAAGTATTATACTTTTATTAAATTAAAGTGACAATATAATACATCTTAATTATAAATAATTACACGTATAAAATACAAGAATTATTTATTTATAGGAGGAAAACAACTTTCATCCTGTTAGTTTTCCCATTCATTCTTAGATGGCGCCAAAGATGCAGTATATTGACCGCATTGATACCAAATTAAAACAAAAAATGTAAAATTGAGTCTGCTACAATATTCAGAATTTATCTACATGTTTATTATTTTTGTGCTCATTACTCGATCCGGTAACTCGGATTAAATGAAATAGAACAATTAACAAAGCTGATCAATGAAAAAGATCTTCCACTTGGTTTTTCATACATGAATCTTCCAATTGTTCTTTCTTATATTTTTAAATTAATGTATTTTGTATAAAAATTTATTGATTACCTTTATAATACAATTAATATTTTTGTATGTGATGCTGCTTACTTGTTTCAGGAGCATATAATCGTTTAAGTAGTTGTTAATATGTATCTTTCCAAATTCAATTCAAATATTTGTGGTTAAGTACAGTTAACATATTATAAAATTGCAAATATGAAATTAAATAGCTTAACAACGTACAAAATTCAGGCATTACAAACACAATAAAATACATTATACTGATCGTGAAAATATTCACGAGTGTTCAAGAATGTTTGACAGTTCTGAATATATTCAAGACTGTTTAATAAATATACTGAATGAGACACACAAATTCAAAATAAAAATTATTGTTTTACACAAAATAATCAGTTTTCAGTTTATATTATTAGGATGCATCTTAGTGAAAGATTTGAAAAAAATTCGAGAATAATTATTACTAATATGTCATTATAATAATGCAAAAATATTACTCCTATATTTTCAGTAATAAATTATATTTTCCTGATTTTTTGCAGTTTTTAAATTTTTTATTATTGCTGTCTGCACTTTAAAACTCTGAAAAATTTCTGTGATATGCGCTACTGAATTTTTAATTTTTAAAAATTTTTTCAGAATTTTCGTACGTTATTAAATAGCAAAAGTAGGTCAAGAACAGGAATTTCGATTTTACCTTTCCCTCCAGATGAAATAGAGAGTTGAAAGTCGATGTGAGATTTTTTTTTAATATACGTTATCGAATAACGTATTGCAAGTTTCATTTGGCTCGAGAGTACATTTTCTTCATATTTACTGAAAATGTATTTCCTTTACTGAAAGGAATTCTTATTACTTGGTTTAATACAATTTGAAATAGGTGCTTTTTAACTAGATCCACAGCGATATACGTGGGATAAATAAACACGGTAAAACGATAGTGACTATATAATAATAGAAAAATAATAAGAATTCATCAAACTTTTCAACTAAAAAGTTTTAGAGCTGCTACCTGTCAGCTACAAAAGTACTTTCGAGTGGAAATAGTTAAGTAGGTACTTTAAGTTCAATAACTTGACGTATTGTATCTTTAACTTCTTTAAATTCTTTTTGTATAGGTAACTTCCTTGCTTCTGGAAGGTGAACGCCGAAAGCTGACAGTTCTTCAACGAGAATTACAAGTTGCACTCGAAGAAGGAGGAAGCGTGAAAGTTAAGGAGAAGCAAAGGCAGGAGTTGCTGCACGCCATATCGTAAGTAGAATCGACATGTATTTGATCAGACACGCAAACTGCAATTGTATGCTGTCGGACTTCCGTGTACGCCCTGGTTACGTGAAACGCCGGATAATATCGAACGCTATATTTATATAACATCGTATTTGCGTAACAAACGATAAAGCTTAATTGATAAATGACTTAATCGATTTTAAATGATAAATTGTATTTTAACATGGGACTGCTACCATCAATAACCTTTAGACATTTCTGAAAACGACATTTTAAACGATATTTATTTCCACTTGTTTAATTTTACATTCTTTTTACAAGATTTTCAAATTTTCGAATTTTTTTTTAAACCCTGTACTTTCAAATTCTAAACTTTTAAGTCGCCAAATACCTTAATTTTTAATTTTAAGAATGACAAAGTTTGCAAATTTTCAGCTTAATAATAAAAATTCTTAAATTTTCAAATTCCGTTATTTTAAACTTTTTAAATTTTCATATTTCTAAATCCCCAATCACACGATTTTTTTGAAAATCAGAAGCTTAAATTCTAATATTCTTAATTCAAATTTCTACATCCGCGAATTTCCACAAATTTCTAAATTTCCAAAATTTTAGAATTTTCTAATTTTCTAATTCTCAAATTCTCCAATTTTGAAATAGTCAAATTTTGAATAATTTAAAATTTCGAATTCTAGAATCCCAATTACGCCAATGGGTGAAATATCATTAAATAATTTCGCAGGTCCGGAGCATATTTAATACCTCATCGCTCTTCGGGGATTAAATGAAGTAATAACGAACTGTACTGTACACTAGATTATACATTTATTATAAAGGTACTTTATTTCCCTTTCTCTGGGGTCTTACAATCCCAGGAGAGCAGACATATTCGCGGATGACTGAAACCAGTTATACTCTGATTTTCCATTGTCGTAATAACTGCAATGGGATTGTTCAATAAATCATACTTCCTGCGTTTAATTGGAACAGTCGATGACCATTGTTTTGAAAACAGTGAACAATCATACGCAACAAAACAAAATTGAATAGCATAACAGGGCTCTATTCTTCTACGTTTCGTTATTTTCTACAAATAAAACGGTGCACTCGAAAAATGCAATTGCAATGAAAAGTACTGAAAATTCTGATAAAATGTTTTTCGTTTCATTCGCTGCCATATAAAGAGACATCTCTGCACATGTGTCAGTTAAAAACTGATATTTTATAAATTAATTAATTTAAAGATAATTATAAATTTCAAACTAATAATCGTATTTTTGTTCATTTTTTAATTATTATTTGTTTAAGTAGTCCGAATTCTCACATAGACTTTACGCATAAAATAATGAATCAGAGCGTTATCGCAATTAACGAATTTTAGGATATATAATATTTATTTCGTCAAAAATATTTGAGGTTCATTCAAACATTTTAGTGAAATGTCACCATGACGTTTTAAACATTTTTAAATATTTCATGAATATTCAGAGAAACTGACTCACAGACGGAAAATATACAGTTACGAAAAGGTACTAAAGTAAAGAAACGCAATTGCGTTTATTCTATATGTGCATCGCAATATGTATACAAATCTTAACATATAAATTGAACTTGTTGGTCCTTTCAACTTTTCTCTCAAAGGTATCTATCACTTTCCGTCACGCCACTGATTACCATACCGAAGCAGTTGAACATTTGATTAGGTAGTATTTTTATTTCTGACAAATCCTATAAAATATTTTTATATTTTGTTACGTTATAAGTAAGTAGTTAATACGAGCATCTTCAATTAGGTAAATGAACATTTTTCTTAATAAAAGTAGTAATAGATTTATGTGAAAATTTGAATGTCCATATATGGACTGCCAAAATGTTAATCACAAAAAATATTAGAATATCAATTCAAAGTTTTTTTTTTAATTTTATATTACAATACTAAGTTTAAAGTTTTTTCTGCATTTTATATTACATTATTAAATTTTGTATCATAAAATCATTGCTCAATTACCAATTGTCCAAATGATAAACTTTCTTTCACAAGACTAACAAGTAAAAAAGAAAGAATTAAGCACCGCACAAATTGAGGCAACTAAAATAAACTAATAACCAACAAAAGCAATTAGACATCATAGGTTCGTATGGAAATTAAAACGACACAAATATATGGGCTATAACAGCAAAAATATTTAGTCTATCATTTAGGAACATTTCTTCGCGGTTTACGAAAACAATGAAAAACGAAATAATATCTACCTCCATTCAATTAACAATTAATCGTCATTTCCGTTCGTAGTTCTCATTAAACTTTTTCCAATATTCCAATATAAAAATAAAATAAAAACCATTGTGTTTATTCGTCAGACAAGGCACATTTTCACGGTGCTGAAGAAATATTGTATGAAAGTTAAAAAGGGAACACGCGAACGTTAAAATAATAATGGAGGATAGCTTTTGCTGGTTGCATGTGTCGAAAATGTGAAATTTTGCTTACGAAGTAATATCAAAATGGCCGTCATACGGAAAAAGTCGGGCAAGGAAACATCTATTTTCCAGCAGTGGCTTTCGAATAATATATTTTGCAAGTTGGCAACGGACCCTCGTAACACGAGCTCCGCCCTCTCCCCCTTGAAAATGGAGGGAGGATTAACTCGTTCAAGATTTATTAGCGCTTGTCCTCCGGCGGACTAACAATTTGATCAAACTACCGTGGAATTATGCAGTTTCGTGTAGCTTCCGGCTCGTCCGAAGTCGAAGCTCAAATCTACTAAGTTCCCAGTGTTTCGTCGTGCGTGAACCATGCCGCCATTAATATATTTTCGTTTCATCGTATCACGTTTGCTTTATTTATAAACTGATCGACCATTTTCAACATTCCGTTGAACAACTCTTTTTTTCGTGCGTTTAAAAGTTTTAATTAAATCGTTGGGTAACCGTGCGTGATATGGAAGACTGTTAAAAGCTTCCCCGAAATGGGGAAATGGTGTTCTGCGGATGAAACAACACAAATATATATGAAAACTACTAGACGCTTATATTTATACAGTTATATGTGTACAAATTTAACTGTTTTAACATTGTAGAGAAAATGTAAATTTATTTTTGATAAAGCAAATTGTAAATATTGTGTGCTAGGGACTCATCTAAATGGGAATGCGAGCTAGTTTAATTTGTGGATCAGTGACATCATTCAGACACAAAATGAACTAATAACTGTTTCAGGATAAATATGTCTAATTTATTTATAAGTGAAATTTTGCTTATTGCACTTTAAACGAACACTTCACAGCTACGGATTAAAAAATTTTGTACTTGTCTCGCTGAGAGCTGATGAGAGAATCTGAACAATTTGAAAAGAATATTTTCGCCAAAAATTGAAATGTGGAGTCGAGTCGACATGCTGCTGGAGGGTGAACGACTTGGTTAAAATGAACTATTCGATTAGTTTAAAAAAATATTAGAGAAGCAGACAAGTATCACCCTTACAAAATGTGTGTACTATGATCAAGTTTGATCTGAGGTAAAAACTACGCCATCGCTTGTCACCTAACGATTCGACAGTAATAAAACCATACAGCTTGCTGGGTCGTGATAAAATATGTTAAATAGAAAAATTTGGAAATAGAAATTGTTCGTAATAAACAACTGCAAATAGCAATGGTTGTGTGTTCAAGAATATTCCAGAAAATAAAGATAAATCTGATGGTTTTATGATTTTAACAGCGCGCTGCAACCTTTTATTTTAAAAGGTTCGGAGCTTTGAGTTTCCAAAATTGAGCAACATTAAAATTTGGAGAGTTTTGAGAACTGAAATGTTTGAACATTAAAAGCATAGAAATTTGGATAATTAGGAACACAAGAATGTTGTGTAATCTTAAAATTTGAAAGCATTACTATATGTTAGAATTATGGGTTTAAATAAAAATAATATTACTTCTATATGACTAAATTATTAGTTTATTATATAAAGAAAATGAAAAGACACGCGGCACACTTGCTATATCAGGATAGATAGAGAAGGGGGAAGAACAAAACATGGGGACTCCCGCAATTTTACGCATCAAACTTCACACGTCATGTTCGCCACAACATACGCACATAGCCATGCGTTGACAAGTCTTAACACTATATTTGCGCATATATCTTTCATGAATATGAATATTTGCATGCTACATTAACTTTGATTTTCTATTGCGATAAAGCAAGTCCAATGCATGTACGATAATTAATAATATCTCTTTCCATCGTAAAATTTGTGTTTTCTCATCGGAAAATTTCAATTATATAGTCAGTTATTAATAACAACGTTTATGGTATAATTTTTCGTTTTGAGAATCATACAATAAGTAATTAAGTACTCGTAATTATATTGTGATTATCGTTCCAGAAATGATGAAATAAAAATGAATCGATTGTAACGAATGAATTTTAATACTTTTCGAGATATTATATACAAGGTATGTCCTGAAAGTAATGTCAGTAAGTCGATTAAAAATCATTTATTGAACTGCTCGTTACAAATGATTAAAAATCTTCAAAATAGGCTCCTTCTGCGTCAATACATCGGCTCCAGCGAGTCTTCCAGCTCTCGAATGCATTGCAGTAGGCCTCCTCCGGAATTTCCTTCAATGCCGCTGTACAAGCTCTTTTGATTCCGTCTACTGTCCCGAAAATCTTGCGTTTCATGGGTGTTTTGAGTCGTGGAAACAAAAAAAAAGTCAGGGGGAACTACGACCGGGCTGTACGGAGGCTGCTTTAACCAAGTAGTCGGAGACGATAAAGGCGGTATGGGCCGGAGCGTGGTGCAACCTCCAGTTGTCTGCTGATATGGTTCGTGACGAAGTCATACACTTGAATTTTTGGAATATTTAGCATATCGGCCATTAAACGAACACTTCGTCGACCTCTTCCCGGCCTTTCGAAAAGGCCTTGTGCCACCGAAACACTTGCTGATCTGACAGGGCATCTTTTTTATAAGCTGACTTGATCATAGCAACCGTTTCCGTCGCGGTCTTTCCAAGTTTCAC